TTCTCTGCGTTGAGGGCAACAAATGCTAGCTAATTTTCTAGGTGTCTTACCTATCCTCACCCCTCCCTTGTGTTCTCTCACTTTTATCATGTGCTCAAAGTCCAATCCCCTTGTTGTGTTTGCCCTTGATCTAATGTCCACATATGAGGAAGAACATACGATTTTTGGTCTTTTGGCCAGGCTAACCTCACTCAGAATGATGTTCTCCAATTCCACCCATTCACCAGCAAATGATAACATTTCGTTCTTCTTCATGGCTGCATAAAATTCCATTGTGTATAAATACCACATTTTCTTGATCCATTCGTCAGTGCTGGGGCATCTTGGCTGTTTCCATAACTTGGCTATTGTGAATAGTGCTGCAATAAACATGGGTGTGCAGGTGCCTCTGGAGTAACCTGTGTCACATTCCTTTGGGTATATCCCCAAGAGTGGTATTGCTGGATCAAATGGTAGATTGATGTCTAGCTTTTTAAGTAGCCTCCAAATTTTTTTCCAGAGTGGTTGTACTAGTTTACATTCCCACCAGCAGTGTACAAAGGTTCCTTTTTCCCCACATCCTCGCCAACACCTGTTGTTACTGGTGTTGCTAATGATGGCTATTCTAACAGGGTGAGGTGGAACCTTAGTGTGGTTTTAATTTGCATTTCCTTTATTGCTAGAGATGGTGAGCATTTCTTCATGTGTTTTTTGGCCATTTGAATTTCTTCCTTTGAGAAAGTTCTGTTTACTTCACTTGCCCATTTCTTTATTGGTTCATTAGTTTTGGGAGAATTTAGTTTTTTAAGTTCCCTATATATTCTGGTTATCAGTCCTTTGATGTGTAGCTGGCAATATTTTCTCTCTCTCTGTGGGTGTTCTTTTCAGTTTCAAGACCATTTCTTTTGTCGAGCAGAAGCTTTTCAGTTTTATGAAGTCCCATTGAAACAACTTATTTTTAAATAGGACAACTTAAAACATGAGCAAACTTTTTCAGTGCAGAGAATTTTTTAGGCTTTGAAAGCCATAAAGTCTCTGTCCTAGCTACTGACTCTGCCATTTTAGTGCAAAACTGGTCACAGATACTAAGTAAACAAATGACAATAGCTGTGATGCAATAAAACTGTAGTTATCAAAAAACAAGCCCTGGCCACAACCTTCTGATCCTTGATTCTCATGAAATGGGAGAAATGCCTTGAAAAATATGACTCACAAAAGTTGACAGAAATAAAAACCTAAAAAGTGTTCTATCTATTAAATTAAATCATAAATTTACAACTCTCTAACATGATCCAGAAAACATCAAGATTAATTTTTCCTACACTTAAAATAACTAAGAAGAAAGTGAAAAATACATACTTTCTGATTTCAGAACTCACTACAAAGCTAAGGTAATAAAAACAGTGTGAAACTGGCATAAAGACAGAGATCAATGGAATGTTTCTGGACCATACAGTCTAGAAATCTTTACATCTTTGGCTAAATAATTCTCAACCATGGTGCCAAGACCATTCAATGAGGGAAAGGCAGTCTTCAATAAATGGTGTTGGGAAAACTGAATATCCACATTAAAAAAAAAATAGTTGAATCTTTACAATCATATATAAAATTAACCTGAAATGGATCAAAACCTACATGTAAGAGCTAAAAATCAGAAGGAAACAGTAGAAAAACTTCATGGCTAGATTTGGCAATGACTTCATAGATATGACATGAAAAGCCCAGGCAAAAAGAGAATAGCTAAGTTGGACTTCACTAATAAATTTTTATGCTGGGAGCATGTTGCTATCTGCCTCCAATCCCAGCTACTTAGGAAGCAGAGGTAGGAAGTTTACAGAGGTAAGAAGGCCAGCCAGCCTGGACAAAAGTGAACACAAGACCCTATCTGAAAAACAAACTAGAACCAAAAACGATCAGAGGAGAGACTTAGTGGGAGAGGCCCTACATTTGATCCCCAGTACTGAAGAAAAAAAGGTTTTTTTTTTTTAATTTTTGTGCATCAAAGGACACCATCAACAAAGTAAAAGAGAAAGCACAGAACGGCAAAAAAAAAAAAAAAAAAAAAAAAACTTGGAAATCATGTATCTGATAAAGGATTGCTACCCACAAACATCATGCTATACCTCAACAATAACAATTAAAAAAGAACCTATGCAAAAATGGGTGAAGGACTTGAAGAGAGAATGGAGAGTTTGAAGACAGCCTGGGCTACATCACAAGTTTAAAACCAGCATAAACTACACAGCAGGGAGGGAGGGAAGATGGAAGGAAAAAAGAGAAAAGTAAACCAGTCACAAAAGGACAAATATTTAATAATTCCACTTATATGAGGGACCTAGAGTAGTCACATCCATACAGACATAAAGAAGAATGAAGGTTGCAAGGGGCCAGGAAAATAGGGAGTTAATGCTTAGTGAGTACAGAGTTTCAGTTTAAGAAGATGAAAAAGTGCTGGATATGGATGGCAGTTAGGCTTCCATAACAATGTGAATGTAATTAATGCCACAGAACTGTACACGTAATGGTTAAGATGGAAGTTTTTACATTATTACATATTTTTATAATAATAAAAGGAAAAAACTAGTAATACCAATATTATATAAACTCTTCTAGAGATTATAAAAAGAGACTACTTCACAAATAATCTAAAAAGGCAGTATATCTGATATCTAAATCTGGTAAAGACACTACAAGAAAGAAAAATCATAAATCAGTATTATTTGCAAGTATAAATGCAACAAAACTGAACAAAATTTAATAAAATCCAACATATGTAAAAGGGCTACGTCATAATACCTGAGGTTTATTCTAGGAATGCAAGGATAGTTTAACATTTTAAAAACTTGATTTAATTTCCACATTAACAAAATGGAAAAATCAGACATGAACATACTAAGTGTAATACTCAATGCCTTATTCTTTTTAAAAATGCATCAGAAAACCAGGAATGGAAGAGTTTCCTTAACCCAACAAAGGATATTTGCACCTAACATACTTGATAGTGCAATATTTAATTTCCACTGACGTTGAGCCCAAAAATTAATGTTTATTCTTACCACCTCTACTTCTCATTGTGTTAAGGTCCTAGTCAGTGCAATAATGAAATAAAAAGAAAAGGAAGGTATAAACATTGCATAGAAAGATATCAAACTGTCATTATTTACAGATGACATGATTACGTATATAAACAATCCAAAAGAACCTACCAAAAACTGTTTAAAAATAGAAAGGTAAAGATTTCTTAATCAAAACATGAAAAGCCCTAACCACAAAGGAAAAGACTGATATATTTTTGCAACAAAATAATGAACTTCTGTTCATCAATATACCTTTAAGAAAGTAAAAAAAGACATGCCACAAACTGGGAAATGATGTGCCAAAAGATGTACGTGTCGAAGAACTAATTTCCCAGATATAAGAAGAACTCCTAAGGGGTCAGGGACATAGTTCAGTGATAAAACATGTGTTAGTATGTGTTAGGTCCTGGGTTCCATCCCCAAACCACCACCGAAGAACAAAAACCTCCTACACATCAATAAGAAAATGCAAACACAGAAAATCCAATTTGTTTTAAAAAAAAGGCAAAAAAACAGAGAACTTACAAAAGATATCCAAATGATTAAAAAAATGTTAATCATCGGTCATTAGGGAAATGCAAATAAAAACTGTAAGAAGATATCAGTACACACCCACCAAGAAGTCTAAAGTATTAGTAAAAATATGAAATAACTGGAACTCTCATATATTAGTGAGATTATAAATTGATACAACCACTATTTGTCAAAATATAATAAAGCTAAACATATGCCTACCTCCTAGACATACACCTAAGTGAAATTAATAATTATGACCATCAAAATACATATGCAAGAATGACCACAGAAGCTTTCTTCATAACAGTCAAAAGTATAAACACCCCAGAGATCCATCAATAGGAGAATAAGTAAATTGTGGAATCTTACATAATGGAATACTATAAAGCAATACAAAGAAACGACTGTTTATCCAACATTATGGGTTGATCTCAGCCATAAGGTTAAACAAGTCAAACACAAATGATTCCAATTTGTAGAAGCTCAAGAACAGGTGTGACACATCTATCTTGAAAAAAGAAAATTAGCAGTCACCTCTTTTAGGAGTAAGGAGTATTGGTTACAAAGATGCACAGGAGAGCCATTTAGGGTGCTGGAAACCTCCCTTACCTGGATGGTAGATGCAGAGGTGTGTGCTTATTTTTAAAGTAAGCTATTGTACTTTGCATGTGTGCTTATTTAAAAAATTAAAATGAAAGGCTGGCGAAATGGCTCAAGTGGTAACAGTGCCTACCTACCAAGTGTGAAGCCCTGAGTTCAAACACAGTGCTGCAAAAAAAAAAAAAAAATTAAAATACTCAAGTAAAAGTGAAAACACGGGAAAGGAGCCAAGAGTTTCTTAATGTTAACTGTAGATTATCCAGCACAGAAGAAAGTGGAATAAAAATTGGTAACCATCACCATTCGTTTTAAGTCTTCCCTTATCTCATAAAAACAGTTGGTCTGACCCTTTCAAGCGTCCACAGATATTTTGTATTCTCAAGCATAACAGAATCATTTGGCAAATGTTATTGATGTACGTGCTGAATAAATTAATGAATATGTGCACTTTGAAGTAACAGTTCATTTGCACCAGACCATTCCACACGTTAAAGGAAACTAAAAAGTGATTAATGAAGTTTCCAATGTCACTGTCATTCTCAATCTGTGTCTACTGAATTCTCTGAGGATGTCATGTGTAATGTCATCTCTCCTAGTGAGAGAGACAAAAATTCTGTCAAGATTTGACCTCGCTGTCTTTCAGACTCTTGCACTGCCTCAAAAGAAGAGCAGGAGTGTAATGTTCTCCAGTTTCGTACAGCATTTTAATAGAGTACGTTAACATAAAATACACTAGCAGGAAAACTACGTTTTAAAGCATAAAGAGGAAACGGATTGTGTCTAAACAAGTTTAAAATGTTTGCAGTCAACGACAGCTACACAGCTTACCTGCTCCAACACATCTAACTTTAACTCGAGTTTGCTGAGAACCACGTCTCCACCCCACAGTGAAAGCTGCAGATCCGAAGGCTTTAAGTTTTTGATATAGCGATTCACATAGCTCATTAAAATAGGAGTTACATATGACTCCAGCATCTTTTATGGTTAGGAGTCAAAATCAGGCGCTGAAAAGGGTAAAGACAGAAACGTGGTAAGAAACTGAATCGCCCGTGCAGCGAAGCAAAAAAAAAAAAAAAAAAAAAACGACACATTTTTTCCAGAGGAAAGGCTGGAAAGGTCAAAAAGCGGTCGCTTGCCTCCTCGCAGAAACAGTACTCAAGCGCAGTCCCTGCCCCGGCCATGACTTCCCCACCAAAAGTACAACGCGCCTCACCTCGCCAGGTGGAGAGGAACAGCAAAGTGGGGACCTGAAGAGAGTGCGTCCCCGGAGCGCGAGGAGGACAGGTGGCTTCCGCTTCGCTGCCACAGCCCTTCACCAGCCCTGCCACCCCACTAGGCCATCGGCCTCCCGGAACCCAGCCGGATCCACGGCCGGAGAAACAGGACTAGAGCCAGGCCAGCTCCCGCCGCCGCACCCCACCTCCGCTGACACTCAGGCCCGCTTACGGTGGCGTCGTCTCCACCTCCGGGTACCCGGCACCCGCCCCCGACGGCGGCGCCGCTGTAGCACCACGCGACTTCCGGGTTGCCTCACTCGGTGCTTGGAACAAACGGCCCGCCCGCCCCCGCCAGTCGACTCAGCGGGCGGATTGGCTTCCTCAGGCCGGAGCCGCTACTAAGAGCGTCTCCAAGGAGAACGCTGGCCGGGCTTAGCGGCGTCCCCACTGCGACTCTGCTACTGTTAGGACAAAGCTTGTAGGAAGTGCCTAGGGGAGGGGGCGGACCGGTAAGGTGGAGACACCCCGAAATCCGGAAGTGGCGATCCGGGAGAAGGTGGCTGCCGGGGATAGGACCGCGGCGCCCGTGGTGGCTGTCAGTCCAAGGTGGCAAAACACCGAGAGCTGCAGGTCGGTTGACGGAGGAAGAAACCGGCCTAGGTCTTCAAGCCCTAAAGAAATGAAAAGTTTCCGTTTCCTTAGGAAAATAGACTAGAGGAGGAACTTGGTTTCGCTGAGAAGGGCAGTAGTGAAGGGTAGGAGGAGGAGCGAAGTAGGGGGTGGGAATTTAAATTTAGACCTCAGGTT